ATTTTTATATGGTATACCTGAAGAAGATAATTAACATACAAAATTATTACGTAGCAGATTAATAAAAATACATTAATATGATATTGAAACAAACTTTAATATAATTTTTTTTTTTTTCCAAACATTAATACCTAAAAACAAGAGAATCAAAGAAGATTCAACATTTTTGAAGATAAAACTCCAAAAAATTCCCTAAACAGCGCTATTTGGCGTATATCTATGTCTATGTAAAAAGTTACTTTAAATAAATTTAGTAATAATTTTTTGTAATTAGCTTTGCAATTACTATTTCTACATGTTCTGAATACCGGGTTTTATTTTATTTTATCACAAATTATAACTTTGAGAAAGTGATGATGAAAATAAGTCAAAAAAAGAATTCTGTAACATATTATTTTAATATTTTAACACAAAAATAAGAATCTGATACAAATTACATTAGAAGGATTATCTATTCTACTTAGATAATGAATTGCTCTACTAGCGTGGTTTTACAAACCTTGTAGTTTGATTAATTTTGTTTTGTGTGCTTTAGCTCACACTATATTAACATATGTGAAATGAATATGAATTAGGCTAAAGTAAAATATTTTTCTTAAACAGAAATTAAGAAATGGGCGAGATTTATATAAAATACCTATTACAGCTGATATTTTTGATTCAATGATTTTTCCATAATAAATTTTTATTTACTTGAATACCAAGAATATTTTTTTATTGTTATGTTGTTAATGAGCAACTTTGGAGTTTTTAACGTAGAAACATTGATTGACCTGTTTTATGAAATAAAATGTAGTTAGTTTGTTCACAGTTTAAGGATAGTTTATTTGCCAGTTCAGCATTGTTCCGAACATCCATTTTAAATTACTATGAATATAAAAAAAAGTTGTTTCATCGGTATACATTGTTGAAGATATTATAGATGATGCTTTATGCATACCGTTGATGTAAATTAAAAACAATAAAGTTCCTAAGATTGAGCCTTGAGGGACCCCTCACTCAATATTAAGAATCCTTGACTCCTTGTTTATTACAAAATGCTTTCTGTTTTTCAGTTTTTTACCCATTTATGCATTGGTCCTTTGATATCATTATGTTTAAATTTGACAGTAAGAAGCCATATTTAACTGTATCAAATATATACTTTAAAAGATTTATAAATACTCCTAGCACGTGTTCTTCTTTATCAACTAATTGAAATATTTTATTTGCAACTTTATTTATAATGTGCTCTGTTGAACAACTAATTTGAAAGCCGAACTGATTTTTAGATTCAAAAAATTTGTTTAGCTTCAAGTAATTATAAATTCGATTGTAGATTACTTTTTCATAAACTTTAACGAACACTGGTATAAGGAGAATCGGATGGTAGTTAGATATATTATAACAAACTCCATTATTATAAACAGGATTGACTTTAGTAACTTTTAACATATCAGAAAAAGTACTGTGTTCAAAAGAAGATGGTATTAAATAAAGCAAGGGTTTTCTAATACATTCCATAACGTGTAATTGCTATTATTACATTGCTATTATTGTCATATCCCCAGACTGAACTAAAGCGAAGTTCATTTCGTTTAGTTTTAGTTTGCGCTTTGTTAAATTTTTTTTTTTAAATGGTTTTTCTCCAACAAATTTATCAAACATTTTATTTGGCTTCACTAGTTTTGAAGCTAGACTGAGACTAAGAATTACAAAGTATTTGTTAAGTTCACGGTTAATATCTGATTCATTTGTATTGCATTTATTATCACATTAATAATTCTATTATTAATTATAATTCCTCGCGATTTGTAGAGGCTTTAGGAAGAATGTTAATTTAATTCTATTATTAATTATAATTCCAACCTCGCGATTTGTAGAGGCTTTAGGAAGAATGTTAATTATAATTCCAACCTCGCGATTTGTAGAGGCTTTAGGAAGAAAAATTTAAACAAAGAAAAGCAGAGGAGTAAAAACTGATCTCTAGAAAAACCATATTTTATTTGTAACAGCTTTGTAATAAAGTAATAAACATTCATGATGACAATAATGATGTTTTAATCAACATCGTTAACAAATGCGTTTACTGGAAATCTTTTTAAAATGTTTCCAAACGTTTTTGATACAAGAAAGTCATTAAAATCATGGCTGGAATTCACTTCTAGCGGGTTTCATAAAAAATAATTGGACCTCACTTTTAGCAGATTTTATAAAAAAACAAGGATAATTTTTTTTCATAATTTTAAAAGGAGCATCGCTTTGAACCATAACCAATAAACTCAATAAAAATTTTATTGAAAAATATTATCTTATTTAGTGAGCGAATGTTGGCTTGACACATTTTTAATATTTTAAAATAAATCAACTTATAATTAAAATTAAGACTGAAGTGATTAAATAAACATCAGTATTAAGAAAAGTATTAAGAAATAATGCTAAAATAAAATTTTAAGTTTGTGTTGTTATCGACTTCGACTAAAAAAGTAGTCAACAGTTAAAATAAGTCAATTTAAAAAACTATGAATCTCCTACTAAATCTCCTACTACTGGACTAAAAATCGATTTAGTCCAGTAATTAGTCGATTAATCTTTTCATTTGATATAACTTTTTCAATATTTAATTTTTGTTTGTTCATATAATTACAATTCAAATTCATAGAATCATAGCAATATTTACACCTAATTAATCTTTCGGTTATGTGTTTCAGGATATATGTATATATATATATATATATATATATATATATATATATATATATATATATATATATATATATATATATATAAAATTATCTTATCGTTATATAAAATCCACTTATATAACGTTTTATTCAAGATCGTGTGTAATTTAAGAAAACTTTTCTATAAATTACAAGTCTTTTTTGCCTAAACCGTATTGCTTTGAATTTATGTTATTGTATTTAAAAAAATTGACAATGCTTCTTATTACCATATTTAGATTTCATAGGATCATTGTAAGTTTAATTATTTAATTTCAACTTACTTTCCTTTTTCCATTGCAGCTCGAACATTTAATGATAATTTGTGAAACTTCGTTCCACCTTTCATCTTTGTATTAGTGTGATGTCTAATACGTAGCACATTTAGAATAAACTTGGTTACTTCCTGTTTATTAATTGCTTGTAAAGACCTGTTCTTATTTTTTATAAAACGAACAATACATGCCTCTTCATTTTCTGTAAGTATAGTATTATAGCTTTTACACTCATTATTCATACAAAAATTAATAAAAGTTAAAATAAAATTTAAAACATCTCAGCTAAAAGCAAAATTAAGAGGAATATATATTACAGATATTTTCCGAATATTTTATTCAAACAAGTTTCTGGATTTTTAAAATGTGACCTGGATAATCAATGCTAATAGATTAGTTTGCTACATTAATTTTAATATATTAATTAAAAATTTTCTTACAGGTGGTTGCACCCCAAAAACTACGTGAAAGTAGGAGAGCCTAGAACTTTTTTCTTGAGAAAAATAATATTTTTTAAGTTATTACTATTGAAAAATAAGCCTAAACGGGGTTCTTCCTGATAGGTATGGTTTAATATATCTCGCTTGTTTTCTTTTGCTTGTATGTTGAAGCTGCCTCTTTTTTTCGCCATGCACCCCAAAAACCACATTAACTAATTTGGCTATAATTTTTTAACTGTTAAGAATTTTAACTTAATTTTTTGAAGAAGATTGTTATAATAAATTGCTCTTAGGATGATTGTATCACTGCTAACTTATATTTTAAAGAACACTTTAAATGTACTACTAAAACCACATCATATACGCCCCAAAAACCACGTTGATTTTTTAATAATTATGGAAAAGATTTGAAATAATTTAATAAAAATTTATATAGTTTACTCGCCATTTTAGAGTTTCGTTTATTATATTTATTGCATTTACTAATAGTAAGTAAAATGAAACCAACATCTCCGTTACATTTACGAATAAACAAAGTAAGAAAATTTAGTACAAAAGCTGATGCCATAGTTGCCAGAAAACTAATGAAAAAAATAAGCAACTAGAAGCTGCTATAAATTGGTGCAAAAAAACGAATGGGAGGAAACAAGCAGCATTAAAGACTGGAATGTTTACTCTTATTATAGAGAGACAATCAACAGGCGATTAGATAGAAAAGTGATTAATGGACAAGAAAAAAGTTATTGAACAAACAAATATATTACAAAAATGTCTAGATTTGTATGTATGGAAAACATTTTGGATATACGGAAAAACTAAAAGTTTGATTTACTTTAAAAGTTTAAAAATATCCGGAAATCCGGAAATATCCGGAAAAAATTAATCACTGTATTAGATAAAGCGTTTACCACAAATTATATTTATTGCAAAATACTGCTAAATTCGCGTTACTTAACCTTGTTTTAAAACTTTTTTATCTTGTTTTGTCATATTTTGATACTTTGTTGTTAATAAAATAAACTTATATATGAATATTAGCGCTAAAAATATTAATGGGCCAACGCAAGTTTAGAATAAACAAGTCAATCCTCATTACATTACCGCATAAAGCATACAACTCCATCGCCAACCTTATTTATATTATTTATATATATACTGCATAAATATAAGTTTTATTGCTATTATTCAAAATTTATGACTGGTATAAGTTATTTACACAATTGAACCTGTCATTTCGAAAAGGACACTAGTCTAGAACTTTTAATAGTTAGTTTATAAAATTAAATTAAAAATTTCTATATGATTTATGTTTTTTTTATAAAATAAAAGTTACATAAGTTATATACGTTCTTTATTTATCTACTTATAAACTTGTTTAGTTTCTTTACCAGCGTAGACATTATTTTAATAAAAATCATGTTTTTGTTGATTTTGAAAAGTTTTAATAATAGACTTGTACCCTTTTCGAAATGACAGGTTCAATTATAAATCTTACCATTTTTCACAAAGACCTAATATAAATCATCTGTAACGGAGATCTTTTATGAATCATTTGTTGCAGAGATTTATAATAACTCTTAAACTTTCAATGGAAATAATATTCTTGCGATATTTTCTTATTTGCTATAAAAATTATATTTCTTAAAATACACTTATGTTGGAATTTAAAAATCAGACGTTTCCAATGAGATTCTAGGATCAAGAAGCCACTCGTGACCTAGTAATACGAATAAAATCAGTAGGATTTGAATCACAACTATCATCAAACTCATCTTTTACACTAGAAACATTCAATCTTCGTCGTTTTGCTTTGTCTATATAGATCGAATGTTTAGTGTTCAAGGAGCTTGTAATATTGTTCGTTAAGCTTCGAGATTTTTTTGGTTTAACATTTGTTACTGGATGCTCGAGTTTGTTCGTTGTTGATTGAAACCTCAGAGTCGAAGTGTTATTACTATTAGGCGGGTTGTCTGATTCTTCAGGTAAACATGAATAGTTTGGATAAAAGAATCGCATTTTGGAACGAGTTTTAGAAATTTGACTGATTCTTTTTTCTCTAATATCGTGAAGATTACGGAAGCGCTTTTTGCCTCGTTTAGCCAGAATAGATTTTTTACAGCAATCATTTTTGATCGAAATATCATCGCAGGAAACATCTAAGGAGTCATTAGACTCGATTAGCTTATCAATTTTATCAAAAACATTTTTTTCGTCATCAATTTGTTCAGTCGAGTTTTTTAGTTTTAAAGGTTGGTTTTCATTTAAAAGATGCAAAACTGTTTTACGTGCTTCTAATATATCTAAAGTTTTTTCTTTATTTTCTAGTAGAAGTTTATGATCTGTCTTGATACACGAGTTGAATAAGGAAAAAATGTTCCGCTCTCGATCGCTGGTTTTTTCAGCTGTTTCTACATTTTTTTTCTTTTTCAATTTTTTTTGGAACTCTTTACGTGATAAATCGTTTGGATTAAACCTTTCAATAGAGCTGAAGTTTTCTAACTTATTATACTCCTCTAAAATTTCGTCATCATTACACATGTCAATTAGTAACCCGGTTTCTTCCTGAAATACTTTGTTGGTACGATAAATATCTGAAAAATTATTGAATTTTGCTGCTTTACATCGGAGTTTGTTTTGACTATCGCCATAAGTATTTTCATTAAGCGCGATATCATTTTCTTTGTAAAATATATCCATAGACACACGTTGAATTTCTTTTCTAATCTTTTCACGACGAACAATCATATAACACAAATTACGAAGCTAAAATTAGATAGTAGTATTTCGCAAACAATGTATTCTATATATAAGCTTAACTTTTGAAAAAAAAAACCTAATACTTTTTCGATACATTGATCAAATGTGAGAAGTGTATACAAGGACATTATCAAGATGCATTACAAGTTAAAAAAACAACTTGTGTAAATTTTTCAGAACTGTTGTCAGGATATTATCAAGATGTATTAAAAGTTTTTTTAAAATTTTTTTTTTTGTAAACTAGTCAGAACTCTAAAAGATTTTATAATAAAATTTAAAACCTATAAATTTAAATTTTAATTTATTCAAATTAACTTTTAAATCTACAGATTTAAAAGTTAATTTAAATAAGATTTTGAACTAGTTTATGATAACCCTCACTAAACGACTAAATCGATGTAATCTAGTATATATAGAACATATATTTGAGTTTATATATAGAACATATATTTGAGTATATCATATTTAAAAATTTTTCTACTTGCACTATTTTATACTCCTTAAAATTGCACACACTTCTAACATTTAACAACAACTTTCAGGTATCAAATAATACATTAATACCGTTTACATAAACTTATTAAATGTTTATTTAGAAATATCAACTTAAAAAAGTTAACCCTTTCAAGATCTTGGCGCAGAAAAAGAAAGCGCTCCATCTCTAAAGTTTTTTGTTGGTTAATAAACACTACACCCTAAAACATCAAAAATACAATATTATAAAAAAGAAAACTAAAAAAGCATATTATAAAAAAGAGAACAAGTAACAGAATACTATAAAACATATATACAAATACATATTCTAAAAATATTTAAGGATAAATAACAGCTTAAATACAAAATAAACTTATTTCTTTTGTAAATATCAAATTTTATTTTCTAAATATTTACATTAAATACTCATACTTGTTTGAATGACTTTTAAACTTTTTTGACAGAAAATAATGCAATAAAATATTTATTAGCAGTTGTTACAAAATATTTTAGGAGGTCAAAAAATTCTAATTCTTATTCTTTAAACAAATAAGTATTCAACTCCTAATATTCTGAATTATTATATTCTGACTTAAAATCCTTATTATTAAGACGAAACCTAAAATTACCTAAACAAATGTAAACACGTTTGAGTTGTATATAGTTGTATATAGTACATACATTTTGCAATACAATTAAATAAAATTTTTTAAAGAATAAGGTTTACATGATAAAATCTTTTACATTTTTTTAAAAGCTCCTTCACTACCGGTCAAACGTTTGGATGTACTTAAAAATTTTCATAAAATGTAAAAAAAAAAACAGATTTTTTATCAAAGTTATTTATTTGGATTGTTTACAATAAAATAATCATTCCTTCAAAAAAAGAAAGACATTTACAAAAAATCCTGCAGCATTTTTTAAAAATTCGATTCTTCAAAGAATCCTCTATTTGCTTTTATAACAGCAATACATACTCTGTGCATCCTTCTAATCATTTTCTGTAATGACTCAGTTGAGATTTGATGTCAAGAAGTTGGTATAAATATCCAAAAGTGTTTTGATTAGTTGCATTTTCCTTACATTTTTAACTCGTTTTGCAACAATTTAACCAGGTTTACATCAAGCAACTGAGGAAGTTTATCCATTAATGTTAGTTCTTTTTTGTTTTTCTCTGAGGAAGTTTATCCATTTATGTTAGTTCTTTTTTGTTTTTCTCTGAGGAAGTTTATCCATTTATGTTAGTTCTTTTTGTTTTTCTCTGAGGAAGTTTATCCATTTATGTCTTTTTGTTTTTCTCTGAAGAAGTTTATCCATTCAAGTCTTTTTGTTTTTTTTTAAATGTGACATAATTTTGGCAGAACTTAGAAATGTGTTTAGGATCGTTATCCTGTTGGAAAACGAATTTGCAACCCACAATTCTTTTAATGCATGTTACTGGAGAATGTTGTGGTATATTTATTATCAATGACACACTCAATTTTTATCTATGACATCAGTGTTTCCAGCAAAATACCTTTTGACTGAACTTATTTCTCAAAAAAACTTTGATTTGTAAGAGAAGAAGACTTTGGGTCATTGTTCAACTGTCCAATTTTTATGTTTTTTTTTTTGCCTATTTCAATTTTTAACTTGTATTGCTTATGTAGTAATGATATTTAATGGCAGTTTGTACTATCAAACCATAACTGATAAAAGGCATTGTTGTAAAGTTAAAACAGATATTAGTGTTTCCTGCCTAGAGTTAAGTCCTTTGCAAATTTTGGGGAGACCAAGTACAATTTCTTTTACTTTAAACATGGATAAACTTGATCCTCATGATCAGAAATTTTTTGATTATTTTTTTGTGTAGAAAAGAATGAATAGTAAAAAAATACTTTAGTGAATTATTACAACACAAAGATACATGCATTCAAAATTGTAATGTAAATGGTGGTAAATATATTTTAAAATAACTTTTTTTATCCAATTAAAAACATTTATTTACAGCTTGAAACTTTCTTTGTATTTTTAATTTATTATTAAGAAATTACTAAAAATATCCAATTAAAAATGAGTTTGAAAAAATCTCCCTCTATTAGCATCTTTTGAAATTGTTTTTTAGCTGCTCATTTTAATTTTTTATCATTTCTTGAGAAATTATTTGACGATTCTCGAGAAGATTAGAAATTAATATTCTATTATTTTTTAAATATCACTTATTGCAATAAGTACTTATTCTTTAGTCACTAGTCTTGACAAAAATTTTTGATATTTTTATGGGCATGCCAATATCAAGTTCAAATTAATCTCTCTAATTAAAATTGTGTCGTATTGTTTGTGATGTTAGTGTGCATAAAAATATCTTTTAATTCACCAAAGAAAATTTGAATATTAAAAAAATTGAATAGTTTATTATACTTTATGCACATATAGATGTCTTTTAAAGGTTAAGTATATGATTTAGCATAATTATATACCCTAGCATAAAAATGTAAGTATACTTACAATGTTACGCTAGGGCATATAATTTAGCAATGTAACTAATAATATTAAGTATCAAGATTTTGTTTCTGGTAATGTAAATCTGCTTACAACAAAAGATAATTTCTAAGAATAATTGGTTAAACTTTCTAAGAATAATTGGTACAATAAACTTTGCAAACTTAATTCTTCTATAGACTTTTTTATAATTTAGATATTTATTTTTTATTCGCAGAAATGAACAAAATATATAATGTGCGGTATTATTTTAAAAGAAAGAACGTTATCCAGATTATGCTGTGTGCAATGTTTGGGTAGCAAACAACTATTATGCAGAAATTTTTTAACTACTGACTTACACCAGCATCTGGAAGGTGTCCACAAATTCTATAGGAAAGAAGTCAAAGCCAAAAGTATCTGTTTCACATCATCTCCATAAACATCTCTTCAACAAGTTAAATGATTATTGAGTAATACTGATAATCAAATAATTTTAATACATATAAAATGGGCAACTCTGGAGGAACTAATATTTTAAACTGCAGCTGTAGATAGATAATTTTTTAATCAGATAGCTAAAAGGAAATTTATTTGACATAGTATGGCTGCAAGAGAACCCCGGTGATGTACAAATATTATGATGTATTTTAATTATATTTAGAATAAGGAGCTAGTAAAAAATATTAAGAATTTAAAAGAGGAACACAAAAATGTTAGAGTTTATATTGAAGAATATATCAGTCTTAAATATAAGAGATTAAGGGATGTTTATTTATATGAAAATTAAAAAATTCGAACAAACTTGAATTAATAAATATTGGTAGTTCTACAACAGAAAAGACAAATGGAATATTAGCTGGAATATTAAATATCTTTGATCTTTGCTTAGATAAAGATATTGTAGTTGTTATGAGTGATTGAGTGTCCTGTTATGCAAAAACTTGGGAGATTGTTATAAGTGGAAAAATTTGGGAGATTGGTTCCTGCTTGTCTGCAATTATATTACAACTATGCTTTACATCTAGCATCTGAAAAAAAGAAAACCAATAATAAAAACAATGATGATACTGATAATGCAGTAGATGAAGTTGTTAAATATAAAGCTGATTTTTCAGAATATGAATCTGATTTGGAAAATTAAGTACCAGAATAGGAAGAGTTGCAAGTGAATATTTCAATTAAAGATTTAATGGCAAATTTATTTAAGGCGAATTTAAGGCGAAAAATGTTAGGAAAAATAAATTTTAAAAATTAATTTAATAAAATAAAGTTTTATCTTTCAAATGAGCTATTACAACACTATTTTGCATGAAAGTTATGTAAAATAAAATGATTTCAAATGACGGGGTATTTGAAGTACTATTTTTAGTTAAAATTTCACTTATATAGTCGAATACTTTTGCGGTCCAAAGCGGTCCAGTAATTTGAAACTTTAAATACATTGTTCAATATGCATATTATCAATATAAATTTGTTTTATAATCCACGGATGTCCGCCTGGTCTCAATTAATAATTTTTGAAAGTTAACCCGTGAAAAAAAGATAGTTAACGCAAGACATTTTTAAAATGTCTAAAACACATATTACTACGTATTTTATACATCTTTAACGCGTCTTTTACCCATAAGTAGCGACTAGCTAGTTTCTAGCTCATCTCCCACCGGGTAAATGATGTATCCAATTTTATGTGGTGAAAACATTATATGTAATTTATTCTAAGTGGTTATGTAATAATTGGGTCTCAGCAAGACTAGATTAGTGTTACAAACTTGTTTCATTAATTATACATTCTAAAATACCAATTTGTGAAATTTTGTAAATAAAATTTATATTTTTATATAGTTAAAACATGAAAAGTATTTATTCATACATAATACAAGAAAACCTGAAGTTAGCTAATCCTAATATTTCATATACACAAAAAGGTAAAACTCAGGGTTTCTTTTTATATGGATTGTGTAGTAGTTTCATGAAATATAAAATGAAGCCTTGAAACTGCGTAAAAATACTTAAAAACAGTAATTGGGAATGTGTTAAACTTAAATTTTTAAATGCATAAAATAATTTTTAATCAGACTGCCACATTAATATTATTCTAGTTATAACATTGATATTTGGAGAAAAGTTACTTTAGCTAGTAACTATGCAAAATGAAGCGTTGCGCATTTTAGGTGCCACTATCAACCAAATAAAAAATCCAGAGTATCACTACATTTGTAGTATCAAAATACTTAATGTGGCAATTATGGGAGAAATCCAATAAAGTTATTACTTTTTCAACTTAATTTTTCCGAGTTGAGAGAGGGTTGTACCACGATTTACAACAAACAAACAAACAAACAAAAAAAAAAAAAAAAAAAAAAAGTAGCCTCCTCAACTGTAGTGGCCCCCTCGGGCCTTGGGGAGGTTAATAATTATAAAAAAAACAAAAAAAAAAACTTATATTTGTTAAGTAATAATATATGTGGTTGCTAAGTAATTAGGTATCCATAGCAACCCAAAGTTAAAACTAATGTCACAATTAAAACTGCAATCCTCAAATTAGTAACAGTGCAAAAATGGTTCTTAATTCTTTTTTATATAACGAGTTATTAGTTTTGTCCAGTAAAAGTGATTTCTGGCCCACTGTGTAATGCCAATGATTTTGTTACAAAAAAAGAAAATTAGCCTGTTATTAAAAGTTATTAACCAAAACAATGAATGCGCTATGTTTTTAAAATTCCTTTTTAAAACAGGAAAATAATTCCACATTTACATTAATTTATAAAAATAAAATATTATTTATTTTCAATTTTTCTTCTAAACAGTTTTTCATATTTCTAAATAAATTTTATTTTACAAACTTTTATTTCAATGTTTGTGGAAAAAAAATCTTTTATTTCCGAAGAAATAAAAATCATTGGGAAACACTATAAGTAAAATATACCAATATAAAATTGTACACAATACCTGCTTTCCGCTTAGTTTTTCTTGTTGTTCAAAAGTAAGCTTGATTAAAGGAACATTTCCATTATCCTAAAAAAAAAAAAAAATTTCTTATAAGTGTAATATCCTTTAAAAAAATAATGGTATAAGTTTATAATAGTAAGAGTTTAACCAACAAAATTGTTTAAGTAAAAAAATAACTACTATTTTTCTATAAGAAAAATCAACAAAAAAAAAGATTTAACTACAATAGAAAATTTAAAGATGAATGATGCAAACATAAAATACTTTACTTGATGAAAGCAAATCTAACTTGGCTGAACTTTTAAAAATTGCATGCAAAATAGAAAATATGAGTTTTTAGCTACACTACATGTTGAAATTCCATTTCTTATGATTTATATTACTTATGATTGCTATCTTGTGTCAAACTTTAAGTTTTGTATTTTATTTATTATTTGTATATACTTAATAAATATACAAAATTCTTACCCGCCTTCTTAAGGTCCAATAAGAATGCAATCTCCTTGTAGCCTCTTTATCTAAATTTAGATCTTTAGAAGCACGAGTGACTTTTACTAATGAATGAAAGTTTGATTCCAATTTTCGTAATCTAAAATAAGCAAACAGTTTGTAAATAAATGCATTGCACCATTTGAAAATAATGTAATTTATATTATTAAAATTAAAAAGAAAGTGTTTTTCTTGATGCCTTTTAAACTGCAGTGGAAAAAAGTTTGCTATTAAAACAAAATGCCTAATTATTCCAATAAAAACTAATTTCTTAATTATTTTAATAAAAACTAATTTGAAAATAACTTTTTAATAAAAAACAATTGAAAGAACACAAAAACAATAAATGTATATAAAAATAATTAAAAAAAAAAAAATGTTTTGTGGATAAATTTCAAAGTTTTTATCAATAAAAAATTCTTGAAAAGAAGTTTAAAATGTAAAGAAACTCTTACTCTTTCAGTCGAGTATTTTCAATCCCGTCACAATTTTTTCTATGAACATTTTGCTCTGGTGGTATAGGTGTACAATGTTTGGAGCAAAATGACTGTAAAAACATAATTTACTATTTTAAAAACATTAATACTAATTTAAGTTGAATACCTTAGGTCTTTAGAGAACTGAAGAAAGACTCACAATATGATGAACATCATCTTTTTCAGGTACAATAACTGTTTTTAGTTCCAGACCTTCTTTTGCAGCACACGTTATATGATAAGCTCTTACGCAGCGTTTAACCTAAAAAAAATAAAAATACTGACAATAGACAAATAAATGTCAACACAAAATAAAAAAAACATTAAAAAAATTTTTTTATTAGAGCCCAAAGCTATACTTGACATATTTACAAAACAAAAAAATTAACCAAATCATATTTGTTAATATAGAATTTTTTTTAGAAAGTTACTTGATTATTAGCGCCAATAGATATAGATATCTGTATTTGATTATTATAATCAAAAATTTTTAATAAAAATCGAAAATGTTTATTTTACTCATCTTATCAAAACTGCAATTAAAATTTGTGAAAATTTCAACAGCTAATGCTGAAAATTTCAAAAACTAATAGAAAATTAAACTCCTAAAATATTAATGTTATAAACACATTGTCAAAACTAAATACCAATTTTTTAAATAAAAAATAAACCTGTACATATGGTAACCTTACATATGCATTTGGCATAGACAGTAAGCATTTGAAAACAATTTCCTTCATTTGTAAATAATAAAAAGTTCATTTTAAAATGTTATTTGTATTTATCTACTGTGAAATATTAATTTCATGGTTGATTTAAAAATAAATACTATTTTATATTTTTCAAGCTTGAATGTAGGTTTGTTTGTTAAAGTCTGCCACTTTAAAACCACAAATTCTGTTCAAGTTATGTTCTGCTGTGTAAGAGAATGCAGAAAGATCATTTTCTCAATTCAAAGCAAATCATAAAAATTATTTCTTTTTCCTGAATTACTCTTCATCCATAAATAAAAAAAAAGTGTTTTAGCTATCCATTACTTAAATGCTCCAAATAAAAATCTATCTAGAAATTGAAACTTTTGCGAGCAATGAGGAGGAAAGCTAATTATAAATTATAAAAAGCAGTTATCTTTACACAATGTTATTAATTGAACAGATAAATGAGATTGATGATTTTCTAAAAGCAATAGCTTAGGAGTTCCTCTTGTTGGCTTTAAATACAAAATCAAATTTGTTTATGTAAGTAACAAAGCGCTCCTGATTTATCCAACTTAAGCCATTGAAAGCACTAACACAACCATTTTTTTTTAATAAAAAAAGTATTGCAGCGGATTCCAAATTTGTTTGCTGTTGCACAAACTTATGTTACAATCATTTGTTTCATCACAAATAAAGTAATTAATAATTTTCTTTCTAGAAAAAGAAACATTGAAAGCACACTATTGCCACAAGCATTTACAACTAATATTAGTGTCACTAGTGTCCCTCGTTCTTGAGAAGTTACTGCTACAACTTGCTTTATACCTTTACTAGCAACTATTTTGTTTGGCCTTAGCACAGTGGTGATATCAGCCTCAAAAATATTTTAATATTAGATGAAGAAAAATGATGACTATCTATATCATCTGAATATTAAAAAACAAAAAAAAACAAAAACAACCACCATTAGCACAATTAAAGCTAATTATTCATGAATATTTATACAGGATAGGCTTATCAATATTAAATACTGCTTTCCATAAACATCCTGGTTAAATCAACAAACAATTAACAACAAGAGCAACAAAAAAAGTAAAATATTGAAGTAAAAAAAAAATCATATAAAAAGATAAAAAACTTAAAAAAATATTAAAATATTAAATATTAGAAATAAACATTATAAAAAAAAAGTATAATTATATTATACTTTTATATATATATAATATTTATGTATAATTATACTTAGTTATAAAAGTATAATTATATTAATTATAATTAATTATAAAAGTATAATTATATTAATTATACTTAGTTATAAAAGTATAATTATATTAATTATACTTAATTATAAAAGTATAATTATATTAATTATACTTTTATAACTAATATAGATTATAATATAAATATTACAATGAGTTAATTATATTTTATAATAAGTTTTAATGAGTTTTTTGAACAAACTGTAATTGTCAACTGATAAAATTATAGTCGGAAGGTCATTGTATATTTTTGCGCCCATAAAATAAAATCCTTTTCTTTCGAATTCTTAATTGACTTTTGGGGCTTTATTGAGCAACCTTGGTTTCTAATGTTAACATTATAAATATTTACAATAAAGTAGTTATTAAAATTAGAAAAAATCGATTTATCAATACACTGCCTAGTTATTAAGCAAGACCTAGCTGTTATAATGTTTACAATAGATGGTTGAGGCTTTGCGCAAGCTTTTCCTTTATTAATGATGTTATTTGGCCTTGTATCAAGAGATTTTAAAAAAGATAGTTGTGTTTTGGTCATGTCTAAGTTGATGAAACTGTTTAGTGTTTATGGGGGCAAAACTGCCATTTAGTAAATTCTTAAGCTTGCACATCTTGTTAAATATGATCTTAATTTTGAAAAAAACTTTAATCTATCACTTGTATTTTTTAATCAAGTACGAAAAGAGTCATTTAAAGTTAGTGATTGGTCTACTATACATCCAAGATAACAGTAGGTTTTTGTAAAATTAATGATTTTGTCACAGTATGATAATTCAATGGTCCTAGTATTGGAGAGTTGCTTAGATGTACCGAAAAGCTGCATTCAGTTTTTCCCTTTATCATATTAATTATTAATTCATTTTTTGCGAATTAGTCCTCAATATTAATTAATTCATCTTTAAGCGCCTTTTTAATTACATTGATATGTTGTGTATTTCCAGAGAAATACACAACAGTGTCATCAGCGTACATAATAATGTTTTATTAGTTGAACAATCACAAAAATCACTAAAATAAATAATAAATAGCAATGGGCCCAATATGGATCCCTGAGGAATGCCTGATTTTGATTTGAAGTTATGAGATCTATCATTTCTATTAACTTCAACTACCTGATCTCAATTGAAAAGATTGTCTTTTAACCATTTTAACTCCAATTTTGTAGTGTCAAATGCTTTGCTTAAATCAATAAAGATAACCCTTGTCTGCTTCTTTTCTAATATTAGAAAGTAGAGTCGATGCAAATTGGGTTGACTTATTTTTACGATATTTAATTGTTTATCATTAAGTTAGTTAAGTTACACAAAGCCACAGCCTTGTTAAACTCATCATGTCGTATGTCAGCTACTTTTGTGTGTCAGCTACTTTTGTGTGGCAGTAAATAATGAGCTGTAGTAACTACGATGACTGAAAACTGTCCAGTAGTTGTTTAAATCAACTGATGTTGCCTTAATGACATTATTTGGCAGAGCATTCCAGTCATTGACTACACAGTTGTTAAAAAACTTGTCTGATTTTGAATTTCCTGACAATCTCGTGATGAAATCTGATTTGATGTTGAGCTCTGGGTGCTATGCTGCAAGGTATTACGCGCCAATCAATAAGGTTTAAATTGCTAAGAATCTTATATTGTTGAATAAGATCACCTCTTTTCCCTCTGTCTTCAAGGGTGGTTAATTTCATGATCGTATATCTATTTTTGTAGTCTTTATTTTCAAAACCTGAGGAACTTTTGTTACGTTGTGTTGTACCTTTTCAATTTTTTGTCACTAAGGGTTCCAAGCTTGTATGACAAACTCCAAATGTGGTCTTATATTTTTTCCAAATGTCAATGTCTCTTGATACAAATGTGTGTTTAAGAATTACGAGCATATTTGCTTTGTTTGCAGCTATATTGCATTGTTGAGCAAATTTAAGATTATCAGATTAAGTATATAGTTATATTCTAGATAAGATATTAATTGAGAATGAACAGCTCTTCCTAAAACTTTCGAAAATGCTGGTAATATAGAAATAGGTCTAAATTTTCAGGGTCATTTATTGAGCCAGATTTTTATATAGGAGCAATTTTAGCAGATTTCCATATAGAAGGCATTGTTGAAAAACTTATCGACAAGTTAAAAATACATGTAACCTGTTTTGAAATGTTTTCAGCACAGTTGCGGAGTAGCGATTGGGGTAATTTATCTTGACCTGCTGCTTTTTATTGATTAATGACTGTTTATTGTTTTGATGCTATAGAGTTTTGTCTATGCAAAGAATTTTGTATAATGCATTCATGCCTTTGGAGTTGTGGTAGGCAACTTTGGATGACAGTTTAAAAATCCTCTTAATCAATCAGGACTACCAAAAATTTTAAACATGATTAAGGAAACATAATAATTTACTTCACTGTGCATTAAGATGCAAGCTTTCTTGTATATAGAAATAATCCATAATATCATTAAAAGTCATAAGTATATGAAGCAATAGCTGATTCTTGTTTAAAAGTAAAACTTGGCTTGACTTTTTACAATCAGGAATATGTAGTGACATTTCCTTTATTAAGAGCTTTTTTTACTTTAGTTATATGATGAGAAAGAGTATATATTGTAGTGGAATCCAAATTTGCTTGCTATTGTACAAACTAATGTTACTTTTTTATCAATTACATGGTTTGCTGCATCTTTTACCATTGATGTTGGGAGTCAAGTTTCAGTTTTTTTTCCTGTAATGCTTTGTTAACTTTAATTTGTTAATATTCTCACAATAACAAATGAAAATACTACAAACAAATGAAATGAAACTCCCAACAAATGAAATGAAAAAAACTCCCAAAAATCATTATAGTATTACTTAAAACTATTACATAAATTTATTTTTATTAAACATTAAAAATATTATAATTTACAGTATTTTTCTCACAATAACAAATTAAAATACTACAAACAAATGAAATAAAAATCAAAAATCATTATAGTATTACTTAAAACATGAATTTATAATTTTTTACACATTAAAAATATTATAATTTATTGCATTGTACTATACAGCATTTTATATTAAATTATATTTACAAAATATTAGCAATTATTATTTGGTATTGTTTTGTATTTATTATACATATTGTCCCTTAGCTTACAACAAAGATAAATAAATAGCATAAAAAGTCCACTAGTCTACTAGATTAGTGACTTCATTAGAGGTTCAAGGAAAGAACTAACTTCTTACAATTTATACTGTAATATTTTTATTATATTAATCTTTTCTAAATTAATAAATAATACAACTATTAAATTTTTCATTTGATGATGGAATAACTATAATAATAACATTGTAACAATAACAATGTTTACAATAACATTGTAAACATAGTTGGACCTGCTCTTGCAGCCAATCTTCAATCTCTGTCACATCGTCGTAATGTTGCTTCTCTTTCTCTTTTTTACAAATACTATAATGGCCACTGCTCGAAAGAGCTAGCGTCTCTTGTGCCATCTACTAAAATTTATTCTCATGTTACTCGTCATTCAATTAAGTCTCATCCTTTTTCTGTTACTGTTCCTAAGTGCTCCAAAAACTCTTATTTGTCTAGTTTTTTTCCTCGAACATCAGTTCTTTGGAATTCACTTCCTTCATCTTGCTTTCCTGATTCATATAATTTGCAATCTTTTAAGTCGTCTGTCAATCGTTATCTTGCTCTACAATCTTCATCTTTTCTCTTCCAGTAACTTCCAACACTAATTAGTGGTTGCTTGCAGCCTTGTTGGAAGCGAAGATAATTGAAAAAAACAAAAAACAAAAAAACAACTAGAGAAACATCGAAAAATTTCTTTATTCTTTTGTTAATGTTCACAACATTATCATTTTACATTTAGATAAACATTATATCAGAATACTTTTCAATTTTAAATTTATTTTAAAGTAACTTTATGTTTTCCACAAATTAAAAAAATGGTTGTAGTACCAATCTACCCTGTAGACATTATAATCACTCTAACAAATGTATAACTATTTACCTTTAACTAATCTAACTGTTTTTAGTTTTTGTATTTGAAAAAGAACTTTTTACCTCTCATGAAATAGCTTAACTTGTCTAAACTTTATTTTTATTTTATTACAATAACTTTTTTTTGGCTGACATGTTATCATTATAGAGTAAAAGTATTTGGGAAACATAAACAAAAACCATCTTTTAAAAACACTTTTGTAACTAACCCTGGTCTCCCTTCCAAAAATACTATATTAACTGCAGGATCCTTGGAGATGCATTATAACTACATAATGTCCCCATTCAATCACATGTCTAAAAAATTTTTACATTTTCTGTAAGCTTATTACTAATGATGCTGCTCAAAATAGAAAGTTTATTAAACATGAACTATAATACTTTTTCAGTGCTTGTTAACATAGCGCCATCACAACTTAAATTTTTACCAACTAAATTAATGGACTCTACAGCCTTGAGAAGTGGTTGTCCAACAACAACAATGCAATGAATGTATTTTTTGTTAAAATCAACTCCATGTTGCATCTATCAACTGATATGGTTGGTCATAATAATGCCAAACTAGCTTATTGTCATTCAAATGCAGCAACCATATAGAGCATAACATGAATAGACACCAAATGAGTTTTGTTATTTTGCCACCACTACTAAAAGGATTCACACTGAAAAAGTGTCTTCCTCTTACGGTGGCATATATTGCTGCATTTTATTCTAATTTTGAGTTTTCCTGGATGCTGACAATCATTGTGTTTCCCTTTTTATCATAATCATTGTAAAATAACTTTATTATACCACATTCTGTTGCTAAATACTTGTGTTCATCTCAAGATGTCGAGATGAACAAGTCACTTAATATAACTATTTCTAGTAACTACTCTTACAGATATTTTATCTGTTGTAAGGTCTGTAATGATTTCTTCACGACTTTTTTAGCAACTCTGAGAGATCAAATCTCTTTGGTCACTTTTCACTTGGTGGGTTTTCCTTGGAAGATAGATTTTGAACAGTTTAAATTGAAATCAAAGTCAAAGTTTGAGATTCTTTAATGTCGCTGCAAAGTTCCCTGAACATTTTATAATTTTATTCCACTGCCGATATTATGTTTATCATGTTTAAAAAAGATGTTTGCATAATAACTGGCATAAATTTGACAATCATAACTTTAAAAATAAAGGCACAAGATCTTTTAAGTAACCATGTAGCAACGACAAAAATGCATGATGAGCACTAAGTGCTTTATCTCTAAATAAGTATCTTGAAAGTATCAATTGTAGAAAAAATAAAGATCATTTTAAAAAGTTCCAATGACTTTTCCATAACTTTTAATGAAAATTTAGAAATTCCATGACTTTTTCCATGACCAAATGAAATTCCATGACATCTCCATGATTTCCATGAACAGTAATCACCCTGCTTTAGTATGTGCATTTTTGCATTATGTAGTGTATTTGTATACTGCCAACATGGCTAAAAACAACAACTAGTTGTTTATTTTTAAAGGTTTATTATTCTTACTTTCACAATAATAGAGCTGTATTTTAAAAATAAAGGCGCTTTATTATCAAAAAAAAAAAGAGCTTTATTTTCATTTAAAATTGTCCTTGAAAAAATATACAAAATTTACTACACTGTGAAAAATTTGTCACTGAATTAGTATGTGTACACATTACATATAAGCTAAGCTAAAAGTGAAAACACTGATAATTAAGTTAACACTGTGAATTAGTATTCACCTAGCACATATAAGTTAAAGGTGAATACACTGATAGTTAAGTTGATACTGTGAATTAGTATACAAACTACATATGAGCTAACCATTTTATATAAAGAAATTCATTTAACAAAAAGTGTTGAAAAAAAGTAAAAACAGGTCAGAAAAACAGTTATTTGTTGTTTCTTGATTTAAATTAAAAAAAATAGTTTTATAAAACCCTAGCATCTATAGAGTATTTTCAAAAGCTTAAAATGATTAAAAGAGAAATTCTGACATATAAAAACAATTTTGACAGCAATATTGTTTGCTAAATTAAATTCATTCTTAGAAAAAAAGATTAGAGAAATAAAAATTAAAAACAAAACAAAAAGTATTAATAAATAATCAAATTTATTTTCATAATTTTGTTTTTGTACACGCTATTAAAAATATATATTTAAAAACAACTTTTCTAAAAAAAAAATTCAAACACAGATCAGGATAAAAACTGTCAAAAACTTACAAAAAACTAGGGGATCCCAGACACAAGAGCTATTGCTAGGCACCCCCACCCCGGTTTGGAGGGGAGGGGGAGTTGCAGCAATTTTAGGGGGTCCATTTGGAAAATTAGAGCCCTTTTTGCAAATTTAGGAAGCTTTTATTTGGTAATACCTAGTGGAAAATTCTTTCAATATATTGACAAAATTTTTAAATTTAAATGTAAGAAATTCTAAAGTTGTTTTATTAGAAAAAATTGGTATATGTTATTTTAATGTATACTATATATTTGTAAATGTAATTATATTTTATATTTTTAGTACTTTACATGCTGATATAGACCAACATGATACTGATAAAAAAAATAGCATGAAAACTAGCATCATGCTGATATAAACCAGCATGAAAAGTAGTAACATAAATCTTCTTGTTTTCTTTTCTTTAAGTAGACATGTAATGGACCTGAGATTTCCAATATAAGTCAAAAAAATGTTTACTGTGCATTGTATGCAGGCACCTTTCTTAACATGACAAATTTCACAACTAAGACTCCATCTCTTCATCTAAATGTAAAATGAAAAGTCATTAATAAAAAATAAACTTCAGTACTTTTCATTACTATTTAATTAGAGGTATAAGTGAGAATGAACAGTTAATGAACAATATATAGAAAGAAACAAAATTTTTAAGATTGAAACTTACAGGTATTTTATCAATAGTGATTCTCTCTACATATTTTGAATCTTCAATTTTCACCTCAGGAATCCACCAGGCACACATAACATGAACCCATTCATAGGAATCTCTATAATATTTTTCATACTTTAAAAAAACAAAAAAATGTTCCAAAAGATTTTTTAATAAAATAATTAAAACAAACTTGAGTCGTTTCATTGCACCACCATTGTTTGGACAAAGATAGCATGGTGGAGAGAGCACCCCACGAGAACATGGGTTACATAACCAATTACCTTCTGGTATTTCTAATACACCATAACAGTGCTAAAAGAAAATAACAAAATAAATAACACGTACAGTAACAAAAAATATATACCAACAATTAACTGATGAACACACACATAAAAAAAGAAAAAATATATGCCAACAATTACCTGATGAACACACATATTACAAGCATCACAAAAGATTATCTCATTATCATCTTCTGCATCAGGCTAAAAATAGTTAACAACTTTTAAATATAAGGTTTACTGAAAAATCTTAATTTCCCTTAATATTATTATTATTTTTTTACTTATATTTATTTATTAATATTTATTAATATTTAATTAAAATATAATAAAATCAAAGTTAAAAATAAAAAAATAAAAAATGAAAAAATGAAAAATATAAAAAAAAAATTTAGCTCTTTTTATCTAATAAAAAAAAAATTTCACAAATGTTTTTTACAATTAATTACTACTTAATGTTTTCCACATAAATTATTTTAAAAGACTGTTTACATTATCTAATTGAAAAAAGTTGTGGCCTAATGTAAATGGCTTAACATGTAAGTGAAATCATTTACGTAAATTTCAAATGGTATAATGCTTCTTAATGATATATATATATATATATATATATATATATATATATATATATATATATATATATATATATATATATATATATATATATATATATATATATATACATATATTATTTTTTAATCATTTTTTTCTAATTGCAGTATTTAAATTACAGTATTAAAAAATCTTCTTTATTAAATTAACTATTGAATATTTAAATACATTAATTTAATGTTTGGTTATTGAATGGCGGATATATAATACTTTTTAATCCTTTTTTATATAGTCTCTAGCAATATTGTTAAGATTTTGGGATTATTTCTAATATGACCATTTTCAACTTCTTCTAAATGAATTTCTTGTTAAAGGTATTTTTGAGAGCATATACTATATTTTTTGAACAACATAAGAAAAAAAAAAAGATTTTTTAAGCTCTTTTTCTCATTCCTTACAGGGATCCCAAACCTCCGAGACATGTAGTGTTCATATTAAAGAGAATGATAAAAAAAATGTTTGGGCCAAATTTTTTTGATTAAAATAAAAAAACAAATGCATACCAAAAAAAATTAATTTTTTTATTTTAATAAAAAAATTAATTTTTTTATTAAAATAAAAAAATTAATTATTTTTAAATTAACAAAGCTTGCCTTCTCTGTATTGTTGAAGGCCAAAAAGCCAGCATAATATACACAGCAATCTACAAACATGATAATTTATTAAAGCGCATTTTATTCGTAAGAGTTTTAGTACATGACGTCATAGGTTTTTTTGTTTGTTTACATAATCAATCTTTTACACAAACAAAAAAACCAATGACATCGTGAACTAACCCTCTTAGAAATAAAATGTACTTGAATAAATTATCAAATCTATAGATTGCGGCGTATAATATGCTGACTTTCTGGCCTACAACAAAACAGAGAAGACGAACTTCGACTAAAATAAATTTTTTTTTGATAATTATCTTTAATATGAACACAACATGTCTCGGAGGTTTAGGATCCCTTTAATAACTAAATTATTGCTTATTTTATTAAAATTTCTCTTATGAAATTTTTTTATTAAGCTTTGAAATTTCTGTTTTAAGTTTCAGTAAAACTCTAAATTCTTTCTTTCTTACTATAGGTAAATCATATCAATAATTAAAATATAATAACTAATTGTTATTAGAGTATGTGGTTTACCTTTACTTTTAAAAATAATTATATGTATGATACAGCTGTTATAATCATGATAAATTTTTAAGTTTTATTCAAACTAAAACATTACAAAAATTTTTATATAGAAATAAAAAATTTTCTTACAGACAAACAAACCATGCAGGTTGTAGACTCATCATACTCAATACTAAGCCCTTCTTTTGTTGCCACAGCATGAACCATGTTATCAAAGCACTAAAACATTATAACAAACTTAAACTGATTATGAACAATTGAACTTGATAACTTTTTATTAATAATTAATAAAATCTTAATAAAAAACTGTTGTTTTGACCATTTATGATGTTTTAAAGCTACATTAAAGAAATGTTTTTTAAGACTTTTTTGTAACTTTTTTTTTGTGTTTAAACAAAATGATTTACCAACAAAAGATTTAAATATAGAAATTAAAACTGTTTTAGAAAACTTGTGAAATATACAATTAATTACTACTACGAACAACACTAAAAAAAAATTTAATACCTTTCGTTCAAAATATGTGATAGCTCTTTCCATAGTTAATTCGTCAATCTCAGAAACTAAAAAAAATAAAAAATAAAAACATGAAACTATTGAGTAATTTTGAATCATAATTTTGACTAATTAGAGAAAACATATATGTAAATTTTATATTTACATATAGGTTTTTTCTAGTTGGTCAAATTTATGATTTAAAGAAGAAATAATTATATATATATATATATATATATATATATATATATTATATATATATATATATATTAACATATATATATATATATATATATATATATATATATATATATATATATATATATATATAAAGATATTAAAAAGAATTCTTAACTCTTTTTAAATTACACAAATGATTAAAAAAAAAAGTTTTAAAATACAAATTTAATGAAAAGCTGCTTCTTCAACTTAAAAATAATTTTTTTCTTTTTTAAGAATTAAATTCTTAAAATTATTGCTAAACAATATTAACCTTAATGAAGGATTTACTTGAAATACTGATAAAAGTGGTTTTGTGATAATGAAAACAACTTTTTTTTTAATTCTATGCAATTATTTCTTTTTCATATAGAACTATAGTTGGCTGAGTTTCAATGTGATTTTCAAAATTTATAAACTTCATTCAAAGAATATGTAAACATTAGGTTTTTACTCATTATAAAAAAACTCATTATATTTTAATAATTATAAAATTGTTTAAATATATAAAATTTCAGAATTAGACCCCTACCACATTCCTATTAATATCTTGTTAAAAATACATCAACATGCAGCAATCTTACTTATAATACAAAACTATAGATTTATAGGTACTTGACATATTTTTAAAAGACTAGCCGCCTTAACTGAAATGATTTTCTTGGCCAAAAAAAAAAAAGAATACAAAACTGTGACTATCACTTAATTTTGTAAAATATATCATATTGCTTTAATATTTATATGGCAATATACAAACACAAAAATTATAAACTGAGAATCATTTAAAACTATATAATATACTATTGCTCAAGTATCATGATTTGTCTTCATCTTTTTACATTAGTTAATTTTACCTTTCTTTAAAGTCCTCAATTTTTTAACTGAATCAAGCCAACTAACGTCCATGTCATCAAGATCATAGCTACAGGAAGTAGAGCTTCGATCTATGGCCTTTAGATATTTTTCTTCATCAAATGTAATTCTTTCAACTGGTCTAAATATATATATATATATATATATATATATATATATATATATATATATATATATATATATATATATATATATATACATATATATATATATATATATATATATATATATATATATATATATATATATATATATATATATATATATTAGCAATAATATATTATCTTACATCACAAACTTAATTCATTCACCCTTAATATCACATTCATTCAACTTCATACTATTATCACATCCCTAAACCAAGGATTCAACTCATAGATTTAGTATATTTAATATTAAATAAAATATTTTACTTACAAGATAAAAAAATCTTTTGTTGTAGAAGAAGGAAGGTGTCTAAAAAAAAAAAGAGTTTTAAAGCTTCCTACTAACAAAGTCTTATGACTTATCAATGAATATTTTTGAAATTTATCCGCCTTTTATCTAAACCAATTAATATTAACATTTTAAAAAGGCTAAAGACATTATAAATAAACAACAACAGTTTTGTTTCATTCACTTGTTCATTTATGTTTATCTACATTGTTCTTAGAATTCAATTTTTAATAATAATAAATACAAATAATAAATACTCAAAAAAAAAACAATAAAATTTCTATTTATCATAATACATATTTTGTATACTGCGCAATCATTTTTTTTTTATAAAACATTTAACTGCCTTTCAGCAGTTAAATGTTTTATATAATAAATCAATGTTTTTATTAAAAGTACAACAATTCTATGTTTTATTAAAAGTACAACAGTTCTATTTCTTATTAAAAGTACAACAATTTAATGTTTTAAATAAATGTACAACAGTTCTATGTTTTATTAAAAGTAAAACAGTTTAATGTTTTTATTAAATGTGCAACAGTTCAATGTTTAAAAGATGAAATGTTTTTATTTAAAATTCTTTATGTACAAATATAACTTAAATTTAGATTTTGTTTCTTCAACAAAATAACATTTAAAAGCAAAGTATTAACTAAATCTTTCACATTGAATAATATTAACTAAACCTTTCACATTGAAAAATATTAACTAAATCTTCCACATTGAAAAATATTAACTAAATCTTTCACATTGAAAAACATTAACTAAATCTTCCACATTAAATAAATCTTCCACATTGAAAAATATTAACCAAATCTTTCACATCGAAAAATATTAACTAAATCTTTCACATAGAAAAATATTAACTAAATCTTTCACATTAAAAAGTATTAACTAAATCTTCCACATTGAAAAATATTAACTAAATCTTCCACATTGAAAAACAATGATATCTGACATTTGGCAAAAATATAAAATAACATGAAAAAATATATAACAGCAAAATAAATTTATAAACTAAATGCAACTTTATGTATTAAATAACATGAAATTAAATAATGATTTTAGGTACATGATAAAACATTGAAAATAAAATAAATAACTAAAATTACTAACAAATATATTAAAGGTAATTACTATAAAAATATTAAATATTAACAATATTGTATATATATATATATATATATATATATATATATATATATATATATATATATATATATATATATATATATATATATATATATATATATTATCAAAAGTATATAATGTATAGTAATAAAATATTACCTAACAATCGGTTTTAATGGTGTCTCACCAACTGGAACCTGAATAATTAGAAAATATTTTGTGTGTAAGAAGAGTAACCCAACTTGAAAAAAAAACTTAAGTTGCATAGATATATAGATAGATTTTCTGAATACATAATTTTACAAAACAAGACTGCTGAAAGAAAGTATCAGCATTCCTGTACAGAACTGAAAGTTGCTACAATACTTTCTAAACTTTTTCAGTCAAGTAAGTATCATAATTTCGTAAATTTTGTTACACCGTAAATTTTGTTACATCGTAAATTTTGTTACATCCTAAATTTTGTTATATCATAAATTTTTCAGTAAAGTAACTTTAGTTATGTTACTTACTTTACTAAAAATTTTATTTACCATATTTGTTTACCTTGTTCCTCATTAAAATAATATGGTGTTGTTAATAAAAATTTAATTTACCATATTTCTTTGCTTTGTTCCTCACTAAAATAATACGGTGTTGTTAATATGAACTGGGCAACATATTTAATATTTTTGCAAAACTGAAAAAAAATAAAACAAACAAATGCAGAAGGAAGAAAAAGCAACAAAGCAAACAAGGAAAAAATATGGATAGAGAAAAAAAAAAAGAAAAATAAACAAAAACAAGGAGCAAAAAATAATCTGAATATATCAGATTTTATTTTCTTAGTAAACAGTTTATAAGAGATATATGTAGCAGTATATAAGTTTTCAATACAGTTTAAATAAAAATAGTTTTGAGCATGGGAAATGTGCTTAGGCTAGGAGAGAAGAAAAATAATTGAGATGGATTTTAATATTAAGATAAGTTTTTTGTATTTAAATAAGTGACTATTTTGTAAGTATTTTAATTTTCTCATTTTTAGACTTGGCAATTTACATAGACCTTAGAACATCCAAATGATTATAAATTTTTGTAAGTATTTATGAAAAAAAAACAGACTTTATGTACAACAAAATAAAAAAAAACTTTTTGTACAGTTAAAAAATAATTAATGGTTATGTTTTTTTAAATTGATAAAATTTAATAGTCTGAAAATGAAAGTATGTTAGACAAAATAACCAGATATAATTTTTTTTTTTTTTTATAAGTCGATTTAGGTGCCCCAAGAAGTCCTTACGGTCTTATCACAGAGCACCGCGGAAGAGCATTTAATAGGAAGTTCAAGCCTCCTTCCCAACCGATGTCGCAAAACTTGCTAGAAGTGGGGTTTGAACAGCGAATCTTACATTTCTGAGACAAGTGTGCTACCATTGCGCCACAGCTGCTTCTCTAATTAATTAATTAAAATAAATCTCATTATTATGAGAATTTATGATGGTTTTAAAAACTTTAAAAAATTTTTTTTAAATAAAAAAAACTTTTTTTTTAATCCTAATTTAAATTCTAGCTAAAGTCACTAAAGACGTTACTTTTTTAAAATATTTACAACTATACAAAAAAAAGTTATATTGTTACCACATAATTTATAGTAGATAAAACAACCTGTACTTTTAAAATTTATAGTAGATAAACAACCTGTACTTTTAAAATTCATCAAATCATTAAAATTAAAAAAAAAATGTAAAAAATACATTTATGTAAACTTTAAGTATTAAACAGAATTCAATTACCTGAACACCTTTTTCCCACTCTTGTTTCCAAGTATCAGTTAAAATGAATGTTTGACCAGAAGGAAGTTGTTGAGAATCTGGAATTTTCATTGCAGTTATAAAATCTGTTCGAAACACCTAAATTATTTGTTTTATACAAAACATGAATTAAAACAGATAATGATCTAGTAAATAGTGATTTATTTCTTATACAATTATCTTATTTATACCATTTTTTTGTAGAATTAGCTTAATTATATCATTTTCTTTTTAGCATTCTACTTCTCATTGTAAAATATGACAGTAACTATGTCTTTAAATTTAAAGAAAGTTGTCATTATTTATTCAAAATTTACTCTTTGTATTAGATTCTATCCTAAACTCTAGATTTAGAATGAACTAGATGCCAATAAAGCCCTCAATATTTGGACAAATGGAGATAAGGTTTTGGGAAAACCTTATCTCCATTTGTCTTGAAAAACTTGGGAAACCTTAGCAAAATCAAAAGACCCAAGTGTAAATTGTGTGATGTAGAAATAAGTCATTATATAAACAACCTATAGGAGTTCCTTAGAATATTTTGCATGATGTTTGAAAAAGCATTTGGTGGCATCCGAAAGCCATTCTCAAATGGTTATATACTACAAAGTACATGCTAGTACAATATGCAGCATGTCTAACTGTTTGGATAGACATGCTGCATTTACAAAATACAGGCAGGCGGAAAAGTTGCATAACTATAATGTGATATTGGCCTAAACACTCTGCCAAAGATCACTTATTATATTTATAATCACCAAAGATTTACTTATTATATTTATAATGTTTCAGCCATAAAAGAAACGGTAAGTTACTATTAATTATTAATTACTATTTTCTATTCGCTTTTTGTTATTTCTACACATTATAATTGTTTATTTACACACGCGCATACGTACATGTGTACAAGTTTGTTTCTTCTTATGTTAGGGTACCTTATATTTATATGTGTTTACATATCTATTTATGGTCACACCACGCGCACTCCTCACCACCCTCACGAGATCTCTAAGAATGTTGGAGCTATTTTCAAAAACTGGGATAGGGATTGGTTTTTTGGCTTTTGTAGTGTAGTCCTATTATATTGCAATATTGACTAGCATGACGTAGAGTGCAGGCAGTGAGATCTGTTGCAAGGACACGCCCCTGACGAGTGGCGTTAGTGCAGGTCTCGGGCTCTCCGAAACGTCATTGGTGATCGCAGTGCATTCCTGAGGAGGGGGATCACCATTTATCCACTACTTAACTCTAATTGGTTATTATGGCACCAACATTTTTTTACCTCTTAAACCCATGTATTTTTGCGCTTAATGAGCTTTTTATTATGAATTTGTTACATTTACGACATTTATATATTTTTTATGTTACACAGGTGATTATCAATTATCAATTTTTTATCTAGAGTTTAGAACATATATAGTACCACATTTATTAGACATTTGTATGGTGCGATTGTTTTAGTTATGAATACCATTATAAACCAGCGGATTTTTATTGACTTGTTTACTCATAGATCATTATTTCATCATTTGTTTAAAGATGACTAGAGTGTGAGTTTTTATTCCCCCTTTTCCTGAGTTGCTTACTTTTACTCTTCCAACTAAATAGTCTTTGCATTAATTTATGTTTTTTTTTTACCTATATGACATCATCTTCAATCTGTTTTTACTTTCACATCTCCCAGGTCTACGTAACTGGACGGCTCCGTTGGTCACTTTTTGCGATCATTGTGTCGCATAAACAAAAATTTATTCTTTGTGGCTGGTGAGCCCCGACTTTTTCCAATGTACGTCACAAAGACAAAACGGACATTAGGCTATCCCGCTGGATGTGGTTACGGCGCTCAATAACCTAATGACTACGCTGACACTCACGCACACGTTCAATCGGAAGCTCCACAATGCACGTCGGATCAGCGCTCGCTGACTATGTGCTCGGATCTGAAATCTCACTTCATAGCACATCATTCCACACCAGCACGGGGCAGTAGCTCTTTTGGTTAAGAGTGATGGCTTGTGGCCTACGGTGACTAATGTGTGCATTCGATCAATTGAAATCCATTCTGTAGGTCTTACGTCTGGCTCTGATGTGCTAGCCCATAAGCGCAAGAAGTGAGTGTGTTTAGCTTTCTATTCACCCGATTTTAATGTGAACGAAGACATAACGAGACCATACTAGACGACCAAACGGTACATACTAATGCACTACACCATTACACCTGTAGACATCAACGGTCTTCAAAATCAGTATATCAAATATTTGTTCTTTGTTACATATGATCTACATACAGAGTGATTAGAGTGTTAGTTTGTTCTCTCCCTGCCCTCTGAGCATTTACTTCGTTCTTTACCTTCACAAAAGTCTTGTCACTCATTTTATATTTTCATATTATTTTTATTTTATATTCAATGACACCATCTTCGAACTGTTTTTATTATCACATCTCTCAGGTCTACGAAACTGGACGGCTCCGTTGGTCACTTTTTGCGACCATTGTGTCGCATAAACAAAAATTTATTCTTTGTGGCTGGTGAGCCCCGACTTTTTCCAATGTACGTCACAACGACAAAACAGACATTAGGCTATCCCGCTGGATATGGTTACGGCGCTCAATAACCTAATGACTACGCTGACACTCACGCACACGTTCAGTCGGAAGCTCCACAATGTACGTCAGATCAGCGCTCGCTGACTATGTGCTCGGATCTGAAATCTCACTCCATAGCACATCATTCCACACCAGCACGGGGCAGTAGCTCTTTTGGCTAAGAGTGATGGCTTGTGGCCTACGGTGACTAATGTGTGCATTCGATCAATTGAAATCCATTCTGTAGGTCTCACGTCTGGCTCTGATGTGCTAGCCCATAAGCGCAAGGAGTGAGTGTGTTTAGCTTTCTATTCACCCGATTTGAAAGTGAACGAAGACATAACGAGACCATACTAGACGACCAAACGGCACATACTAATGCACTACACCATCACACCTGTAGACATGAACGGCCTCTAAAACCAGTATATCAAATATTTGTTCTTTATTGTATACTTTTGTTCATAATCTTATTTTACCCTATCCTTGTATATTTATTCAGATTTGTGTTATGTGTGAATGAGGCCGTATATTTGTGAGAAGTATAACAGCGCGAAAATTTTACACAAAAGTACGTATTAGCGTATTTTTTATAACAAATGTATTCTTGGTTGGAATATACTGAACAATTTCATTAGATAAGTTTAGACTAATCACGATTTCGTTAGGTTTTTTTGTTTCTATCTAACTTTCTCGATTTGACGTCGCTAAGTTAGTTTGTTGTGGTTTGCACTATACAGTCTTCACTAACGTTCCTTTGGTCGTTTTGTCAACAATATTGTTTTTTAACGTTACATTGTTTAGTGGTTATAAGCTATTAGTTTAAAATCGCATATATTGGCTTATCTTTTTATTTCCTCATTATTTTCTGCCTACTGATTTGATGTTCGTATATATTTTTATCTCTGGCTAATCGTTATTTAATTACTCTGAGTCTGTATTGTGTGATAGCTATTGTCTCTACTTACCAGGCAAGATTTATATTAGAACATACTATTTAGAGTTATATTTTTTTTTTTTTTATCATACTTTCGTTTAACTACTTTCGTACTAACCACAAAACATCCTAACTTAGTATCAATGCTTATGAGTGGTATTTACTTATTATATTTATAATACATATTTCAGCCATAAAAGAAACGGTAAGTTACTATTAATTATTAATTACTATTTTCTATTCGCTTTTTGTTATTTCTACACATTATAATTGTTTATTTACACACGCGCATACGTACATGTGTACAAGTTTGTTTCTTCTAATGTAAGGGTACCTTATATTTATATGTGTTTACATATCTATTTATGGTCACACCACGCGCACTCCTCACCACCCTCACGAGATCTCTAAGAATGTTGGAGCTGTTTTCAAAAACTGGGATAGGGATTGGTTTTTTGGCTTTTGTAGTGTAGTCCTATTATATTGCAATATTGACTAGCATGACGTAGAGTGCAGGCGGTGAGATCTGTTGCAAGGACACGCCCCTGACGAGTGGCGTTAGTGCAGGTCTCGGGCTCTCCGAAACGTCATTGGTGATCGCAGTGCATTCCTGAGGAGGGGGATCACCATTTATCCACTACTTAACTCTAATTGGTTATTATGGCACCAACATTTTTTTACCTCTTAAACCCATGTATTTTTGCGCTTAATGAGCTTTTTATTATGAATTTGGTACATTTACGACATTTATATATTTTTTATGTTACACAGGTGATTATCAGTTATCAATTTTTTATCTAGAGTTTAGAACATATATAGTACCACATTTATTAGACATTTGTATGGTGCGATTGTTTTAGTTATGAATACCATTATAAACCAGCGGATTTTTATTGACTTGTTTACTCATAGATCATTATTTCATCATTTGTTTAAAGATGACTAGAGTGTGAGTTTTTATTCCCCCTTTTCCTGAGTTGCTTACTTTTACTCTTCCAACTAAATAGTCTTTGCATTAATTTATGTTTTTTTTTTACCTAAATGACATCATCTTCAATCTGTTTTTACTTTCACATCTCCCAGGTTTACGTAACTGGACGGCTCCGTTGGTCACTTTTTGCAATCATACTGTCGCATAAGCAAAAATTTATTCTTTGTGGCTGGTGAGCCCCGACTTTTTCCAATGTACGTCACAATGACAAAACGGACATTAGGCTATCCCGCTGGATGTGGTTACGGCGCTCAATAACCTAATGACTACGCTGACACTCACGCACACGTTCAATCGGAAGCTCCACAATGCACGTCGGATCAGCGCTCGCTGACTATGTGCTCGGATCTGAAATCTCACTTCATAGCACATCATTCCACACCAGCACGGGGCAGTAGCTCTTTTGGTTAAGAGTGATGGCTTGTGGCCTACGGTGACTAATGTGTGCATTCGATCAATTGAAATCCATTCTGTAGGTCTTACGTCTGGCTCTGATGTGCTAGCCCATAAGCGCAAGAAGTGAGTGTGTTTAGCTTTCTATTCACCCGATTTTAATGTGAACGAAGACATAACGAGACCATACT